TTATCCAACAAATTAATTTTTCTTTTCAAAATTTTGCGATTGATTTCTGGTAATCCCGCCAAAATCGTAAATAACTGGACTAGTTTTCTGGTTATCTGGATTTCAAGATTTGAAGCTGCAACAATGGTGATCAATCATTATCTTCCATGTCGCAACACACGAGCTTCCTCATCAACAACCAAGAGCTTATATTCATGTACCTCATCCATTCAATTCTTTTGATTCAGAAAATTTTCCGATTTCCTCGATGAAATTTTAGTTTCTGAATCCAGTTTCAAAATAGATATACAAAACATTCTCTTGATGAGACTCAATTACAAGACCCAACTAAAGAAATTCTATCAATCCTTGGTTACCAATTTGACCAAGAATCAGATCCAAGAAGTTATCAAAAATTCCTTTTCTCAGTTTCAACCATCAAATACTCGGCTTGTCATTGCTTTACTGGGTATAGCTTTCTCTAATTCTACATTATCTTTCGTCGGCATTTTGCGAACCACAGGAAATGCATTGTCTTCTCAATTATGGATAGTTGATAATGGAGCAATATATCATGTTGCACATGATAAGAATCTCTTCCTTAGTATGTATGATTCCTTGAACAATTCAGTAACCTTACCAAGAAGATTAGATATCTGGATTGTAGGAATAGGTCAAGTTAAGTTAAATAGAAATCTGGTTTTGAATAATATTCTATATATTCCAGACTTACGGTTGAATCTCATTAATGTAAACCAACTCACAAGTGATTTGGGATATAGAGTCGTGTTTGATCAGACTTCTTGTATGATTCAAGATCCGATCAGGGGTTTGATGATTAATCAGCGAGAATGGATATAAAACTTGCATATTTTGGAGACGAACTTGATAAATGAATCTCCAGATATGCTCCATAGGATCAATGTTGTTGTTGATCCTGCGTTATAGCACAATAGACTTAGTCATCCTTCTGTGATGATCTTGCAAATGCACTTTGGTTAAAGCAAAGAAATAAATGTCATTTTCACTGTGAAATTTTCCCTCTTGCAAACAGAAACATGTGTGAGAATATGTTTGAGTTGCTCTATATTGATATTTGGGGACCTTTCTCTGTCTCTATTAATGGATGCAATTATTTTCTCATAATTGTGGATGATCACAGTCGTGTCACTTGGGTTTGGGTTTACCTGCTCTGGAATAAATCTTAGATACTTACTGTCTTTCCATATTTTCTAAAGATATTGAAACACAATACAAAGCTGTTGTCAAAGGTGTTTGAACAGTAATGCTCAGAGGTTGAGGTTTCTGGAACTTTTTAACCAGAAGGGTATTGTTTCCTACCACTCTTGTCCTGAACCTCCAGAGCAGAACTCAGTGGTTAAAATGAAGCATCAACATTTACTGAATATCACAAGATCCTTAATGTTTCAGTCCAAAATACCAATGGAGTATTGGGTATTGTGTTCTCACTGCGGTTTTTCTAATCAATTGTTTACCAACACCTCTGCTCAATGACAAATCTCCATTTGAAATTCTAACTTCTAAGAAACCTGATTACAATGGCTTACGTGTTTTTGGATCTCTTACCTACAGTTCTACATCAATCAAAAATCAACACAAGTTTCAGACACGAGCTAAACCATGTGTTTTCCTTGGCTACCTAGCATATGTTAAGGGATACAAGCTTCTGGACATGGAGACAAACAAGATATATGTCTCATGAAATGTTGTTTTCTATGAAGATATATTTCCTTTCACTACAGGTCAGCTTCAAAATCTTCCTGATATCTTTGACTATGTTGATGAATCTATAGTTGTGAATGGATCTCGTAGTGTAATCCCTACAGCTGTGAAAGAATCTTATGTGGTTGTGAATAGCGCTACTGATAATGGTAGATCTGTCCCCATAAATTCAGTTGTAAAGTTAGCAAAGGATAGAATAACTTCAAAGCCACCAGCTCATTTGCAAGATTATTATTGCAATATGACTTATACTAATATCCCTTATCCTTTAGTAGCTTATCTGTCTTATGATCATCTATCTAGGAATATAAGGCATATATATGTGCTCTCTCTTTGCTTGCTGAACGTAGTTCTTTCACTCAAGCTAAGAAGTTTGATGAATAGTTAAAAGCTATGAAATGAAGAACTAATTGCTTTAAAGAGCACACATACTTGGGAAATATGTTCTCTACCATCATGCAAACATGCGATTGGTTGTAGGTGGGTATACAAAATCAAGATTAATGTAGATGGTAGTTTAGAATGTTACAAAGCAAGATTCGTTGCTAAGGGTTATACCCAACAAGAAGGCTTGGATTTTGTGGACACGTTTTCACCAGCTGAAATGACAACTGTCAAGACTTAGTTAGCAGTAACTACTTCAAAGAGATGGAGTTTGACTCAGTTAAATATATCTGATGTTTTCTTGAATAGGGAGCTTGCTGAGGCGATATACATGAAACTGCCTCTAGGATATACACCAAAAGAGGGGAAATGTCGACCTCTGAATGCTGTTTGTCAATTAGAGAAGTTATTGTATAGCTTAAAGCAAGCATCAAGACAATGGTTTCTGAAATTCAGTGCTACTTTGTTGGCTCTCAGTTTTCGTAAATCTCACACCGATCACACATTATTTGTGAGAAACATCAAAGGGAAGTATGTGGCTGGTTTAGTTTATGTCGATGACATAATAATAGCCAGTAACAATGACAAAGAAGTTGATCAGTTAAAAATCGACATTCGAAAAGTTGATGTATCTAACCATCCCTAGACTAGGCATCATTTTTGCTGTTAACAAACTCACTGTCAGTTTGCTTCTGGACCAAAGCAGTCGCATCTTAATGCTGCCTAGATTCGCTTGCTGACGTAGAGGCCAAGGATCAATTTCACGGAAATCAATCCCAACAACTGTCCCCGACTGCATGTGTTCTTTTCTAAGAGACAAGGACTCAATTCTCATTCGTTGATGAAAATACATACAAAGTACTTATACCAGAAAGTTTTTGGTGCGAAGCCAGATTAGACAAGAGCTATCCTAATAAGATGTGCATCCCGATAAAGTACGAGCTGTGTCGGGATCAGTAAAATAGATTTCGAAAGAAACACATGACTTTGCCTGCGAGGAAGCTTTGCCCAAAGGGATTTATTCGCATTGCTTTGCATGGCGCTCGGTGATGGAGATACCTTCTTTCCCTATTGGTTTTATAGAGAAGGTGTATCCCTGACTGACCACGGAGATTGAGACGAAGCATTGGGGCTTATAAGACACGTGTCCAAGAGGTGCGAAGGGGCGTATTAAGAGGGAGAAATGTTTTCTCTTTGTGCAGCGTGCTAACACGATGGGAGAACCGTTGCTTTTGTGCAGCATGTGTGTACCACTTTCTGGCAAGCAGAGCATTTTCTGAAGGAATTACATTGATTTCCTAACTGCGTGGACAGTCTTCGAGTTACCGTGATTCCCAAACTTTCATTCTCTCTCCTACCATAAACTTTTTGTTTTTATCTTCTTTTAAATACTGCTTTTTCTTTTTCTTCCTAATAAATCAAAGTTTCTTTTTCACATTAGATGAGTTTTATCAAAATGAAATTTTAACTTATTAAAAATTATTATGTTTTTCTCATTTTTTTTAGATCCATATTTCAAATATTTTATAATTAGAAGATAATACTACACTAAATTTTTTTATGGTTAAAATATATATTATTTAAATATACTAAAAAATATAAAAACATGATGAATTTGTTTACAATTAATAATACAAAGAAAAAAAATTGATTAAAAATTGTAATATTTAAAAATGAGGGGGGTGTATTCAACTTAACATTTGAAATAATTTAGAAGGATTTGAGTTTTAGTGAGTTTTTAGATGATTTGGTTGAATTATGAAAATTGTTATGATTTGATATTAAAATTCTATCAAACTCCACCTAAAACCATAAGATTTGAATTCTTATATTTTTAACTAGAAAATTCCATCAAAACATCTTAAAATCAGTCCAAGTTTCTTAAAACCCATTACTTAAATTATTTCCAATAACAGTAAATTTAAAGATACATTTTTTAAATCACTAGTTCAATAACACTAAATTTGAAACAACTTTTTAAAATTTATGTTTCAGAGGGTTTGTGATTTTAATACAAATCAATCTAAATTCTAGTTTGAATACACCCTCTAACTGTCACAGTTTTTACAGTTTTTTTTACCAATCAGGCTTTTAAAAATATTAAAAGTAAAAGTCAAAGATTCTATAGCATATATTTTTGACAGTAAAAAAAGTCACAATCACAGTATACAGTCACAGTTATACCAATGGGAGCTTTAGTCTATCAATATTTTGTATTTAGTCTACCATTAGTTTACAAGTAAAAATAGTTAGAATAATAGTTCAGGTATTTATAAAAAAATATAAAAATGATCATTTTCACAATTTTCTCTCAATAGGGTACTTGTTTCACATTATTTTTTTCATTATTGGTCATTGAAACATTTTCTTTTTAAAATGTATGAAAATCTACTAAAGTTTAAATATTTGTTTATTTGTAAAGTAATACTTTTTGTTTGTTTTATAAATAGTGTTATTTTTAAGTTTGTCGCACATATTAAAAAAATCTTTAAAACTTTTACTTTACCTCTTTATTAATATACTAATTAAATTTATCTCACTTATTAATTTATTAAATTGATAAAGTTAAAATTTATTTTTTATTCAAAACTGTAAATAAAAATATAAAAGTTACTTTTTTGAGGAACCAAAAATAAAATTTTAAAACTCTTAGTTTATCAATCATTTCTTTCTAGGCACAATTTTAAAAATATTGATGGATACATTGTTAGAGCGAGAATGAGCATATTTTTTAAAAGACTCTCCATTAATGATAAGTCATCAAGACGAAGTCCATCAGATTAATTTCTTCAAATAAAAAAATATATACTTGATGATAATGGTAAATCTTCAAAGAATAAAGAAAATAAGAAGATTTCCTCAGCGGAAAAGGAAAAATATTTCTAAAAAACAAAATGAGGTTAAAAGAACCAACATTTCCTTCTTATAAAATAGAGAGTTTCTCATAAATTGAAGATCATCAGAAAACAGGACGACAAACCATCTAAAACAAGCACCCAAAAATGCTAGCTAGAGAGAAGACCTAGTTCTCTCTAGAATTTTTCTATCTAATTTCTTTATAAACGAATTACAAATGGCTTAGTCCCTTTTTGAGGGTACATAAGCAGCATTTCTTAAAGTCCAGCTATAATTCAATAAAAACTTTCGTTAATTTATCTTTTCGATCATCTAATTTTTTATGTTATCTCTAAGCTTCAGTTTGATATTTTCTTAAACCCATAATTTTAAATTAATTATTATTATGGATTATGGTTCAACACACATCAATAAAGGAATATAAATAATTTCGTCGTTCTTATGCATTTCATTTGCATGCGGTTGTTGCAGGACTTTGTCAATTGAAGAATTTGCTGGAGCTCGATCTGAGACAAAACAAATTCATAGGTCCATTTTCACGTTGTTTTGATAGCTTGACCAAACTCCATGTTCTTGATCTCTTCAAACCAATTCAATAGGACACTTCCATATTTTATCAGTAGGTTTATTTCTATTGAATACTTATCTCTCTCAGATAATGAGTTTGAGGGTTTCTTCTCTTTTGAATTAATCGCCAACCTCTCAAAGCTCAACAGTTTCAACCTTTCACCAAGATCTAGTTTACTGCCTGTGAACGGAAATCTCCTGGCAGCCAAAGTTTCAGTTGAGTGTCATAGAATTACAGAATTGCAATTTGGAAATAATTCCAAGCTTTCTTCAGCACCAGAAGGATTTGCGTGTAATCAATCTCTCCAACAACAAGTTGAATGGAGCATCTCCCTCTTGGTTTTTGAATCAAAATCCAAAACTTCGGGATTTTGCTTCTGCTGAATAATATGATCCCTCTTTGATCTTGAACCATACAAGCTATCACTTGAATGAAATGGATCCGATGATGGTGAATACACAGGAATGACTTAATGGGCTTTGATCTGATTTGGGGGATAATGGGGAAAGAGTGAATGATGGAAATAGACAAGAGGTGCGAATTACTCTTGTATACAACTGAATGAGCAAAGGATATGACGCACCAATGATTCAAACATGTTTTCTCAAGGATATTACACACCGTGAGAGATGATCTATTTTGCAAAAGGATTTTATTTAAAAGATAGATGAAAACTAAACTCCTCTCTCGTATACGGTTTTAAGGAGAGAAGAGGAGACACGGACTACAACAAGTATTAAGTTAGTCTCGGGACAAACCCCCTTGACTAGCCATGCAAAGACTCAATTCAAAAACAAAACAACAAAAGAAACAAGACACAAAAACGGCTAAGTACAAACTGACTCTAGACCTTCCAAGCCATGAATGGTAGAAAGAAGTGGGCTTGGACAATGCTAAGCTTAATGGGCAATGACAATATGGGAACATTTGCCTCGTTAAAAACTTTAGTGAGAAAACTCAATGGGACAAAACTCACTAAGGGAAAAAGAGCACAAAATGTCCCACAAACCGATTAGCTTAGTCATCGGTTTTAATACAAACCATCATGGTTAGTTTAGCCTTTTTATTATATGATTCAAACTTAGATTGACTAAGTAGAACCTCTAAGGCATTTTAAAATGTCTTAGTTTTAGACCGGGTCATTGGACCTTTTAAAACTTCTAGATCCTCCTCTTTATCTTCAAGCTTGGTCTTCTCTTGTTCTTCCTCGGCTATAAGCTCATACTCTAAGTTAGAGTCTTCCATGATCATATCATAGAACAACTCATTCACCATGTTTCAGTTGCCAAGACTACTACATAATCACAGTTTGCAGATTTTTGATGTATCAACCAATAGTTTTGATCAACAGCTTCCGAAGAATATAGGAAAAGTGCTTCCAAATCTAGAGCACTTCAATCTTTCAAATAATATATTTCAAGCAAATTTTCCATCTTCGTTCGATGAGATGGGAATGATCTATTTTTGGACCTACCAAAAAAAAAGCTTCTTTGACATTTTTTTTGGACCTATCCTATAATAACTTCTCTGACATTTTCAAAAGAAAAAAAAACTTCTCTGGCTCTCTACCAAAAGAATTTCACATTGTTCGTTATTCGTTGGGTATTTTGAGGCTTTCATACAACCAATTCCATGTCCAAATTTTTCCAAAAGCAACAAATTTTTGGAAGTTGTATGTATTGATTGCGAATAACAACCTATTTAATGAGATCATGGATGGATTGCTTCATTCAGAAAGTATATATGTGCTTGACTTGTCGAATAATTATCTACAAGGTGTCATTCCAAGTTGGTTCGACAAGATTCATTTCACATATCTTTCTATTTCAAATAAACTTTTGGAAGGCACCCTACCAAGTGCCTTTTTTTAAACATACCTAACATTAAAATGTTGGACCTCTCTGGGAATAGGTTTACAGGAAACTTGCCCTCGCACATCAATGGTCAGGATATGAGACTCTTGTACCTTCACAACAATGAATTCAATGGGACGATTCTAAGTGCATTGATAAAAAGTGTGTTAGTACTCGATCTACGAAATAACAAATTATCAGTGATTATCATGCGCTGTCAACAACCAAATTATCATTTCTCTTTTGTTGAGGGGTAGTGCATTAACAGGTGCAATTCCTACTGATCTGTGCGGTCTATGAAGCATTAGGATCTTGGATATTGCTAACAATAGATTGAATGGGTCTAGACCGTCACAACAATGTATCATTTGGAAGGAGCTTAGACTATGGGTTTTTATATCATCCATCATCTTATGGATTTGGCTACGAAGATCTGGGTGTGTATTCTAGGTTGTTGGTTTTACCACATGGGTTTTCTCGAAACTACAATGGCGATGTGAAGTTTATAGTTGAATTTACATCAAAGAGTGGGTATGATTCTTACACTCAAACAAGCCTCGGCTTTATATTTGGACTGGATTTATCAAGTTATATCCCAAGAGAGTTGGGAGATCTTCAAAGAATATGTGCTTTGAACCTGTCTCACAATTATTTGTCAGGTTCAATACCATAAAGATTCTCTAATCTAACAGATATAGAGAACCTTAATCTTTCGTTTTAACATGTTGCACGGATCAATACCTCAGGATCTATCCAAATTAGATTATATGGTTGTATTCAATTTTTCATACAACAACTTTTCAGGCTACATTCCAAGTCCTTGGCAAGTTTTCTACCTTGGATGAAACCAACTACATAGGAAATCCTCATCTATGTGGATCAGTCATAAACAATAGTTGTGATGATCACAGTACTATCAGTTTCGACAAACCCGATTCTCAAAGCGGAGATGAAGAAACCGTAATCGATATGGAGATTTTCTATTGGAGCCTCGGAGTTACCTATGGTGTGACATGGGTGGCAATTATTGTGTTTCTTTGCTTTGATTCACCTTGGCGCCGAGCATGGTTTCGCCTTGTTGAAGCTTTTATCAGTTGTTTCAAGTGTAAGACCAATAATTTTATAAACTACGATAAATCGATCCAATCACGAAAGCATTAAAGATAATCAAAACCGAACAAAACTAGTTAACGAAATAATAAATCGGAAATAACATAAAATAGAAACGGAGCCAAGATCAAAATCTCTTTCCTTAACTCAAAGGATCGCTCGTAGTGTGATAGGTATCAAAGATTCATGAGTCCCAGGATACAACCGTTTAACTCTGAATCGCAACACACGATTTTGGGTCTGACAAACTAACTCTATAAATACTCTCAAAATTACTAACCTGATGCAATGGGAGATCACAGGAATAGTGTGCTGTTTTTGCTCTGTGTATTTGATCTCCAATTCAGAATTTTTGGATGATACAAAAAGAGAGGCTTATGACCTATGTATTTATTAGGTCTGAACTACTTGAAAATATTTCAAGTTTCCGATGTGGGACAAATTAACTTCCCACATAATTATAACCAATGAAAACATTTCATTTATATGGGCTACACCCCATTCTTATCCACACACACACAAATTAATAAAGCCCAATAATGCTTTCGTTCATTATCGTTCCAACAATCCCCCACATGAATAGAATGATCTCTAAACATATGAAATGTACAGACTCGATAAACTAGAAAAGACTAAACTTAGACTAGACATTGACTTGACTAGACTAGACAGACTTTTCGAGAGTATAGCAAAGGCTAACTGTATCTGAAATAGTAGCTTTTCAGCCTTGAACCATTCATTATTGATATCTGCCGGAATTACTCAGCCAGGTGGTGAACTTGATGTCTTGAACCGCCTGGTTTTTAATGTAAAACTAGACAACGGATATAACACAGCTTCGTCTTCTTATAGATTTAAGTTCTATATTGTGTTCATTGTGGCCTTGAACATTACCTGGTTTATCATGAGTGAACTTGGAGAGTATAGCTTCAAATTTCATTCTCCTAGAAACGGTCCCATTTCACACTCACTAGGTGATTTCCATGTACCTGTCACATATACAGAAAGGATTCTGTTATATAGACTATGGTCTCATATCATTAAAAGCTTCAACACTTAACCATCATAACATACAAAAAAGCACTGTTATCATCTTAGGAACTGAGAAACTTACAGTGCTTGTAATAGATTTTGCTTTGATTTAGTTGTCCCTTTGAACCTAGATCTTGGGATCTCCAGTCACATAGGTTGGGTATCCATCATTGCTTCATCTGTATCCATAGGCTTTAAACCCATTCCTTTTGATGATTTAAAAACTTGATCTCCCAGCAAGCTTTAGGTAAACGGATCCGCTAAGTTATCAGCCGACTTGATGTAATCTATCGTTATTACACCACTCGAGATCAGTTGTCTAATGGTCTTGTGTCGTTGTCGTATGTGGCGAGACTTGCCATTGTAGATAATATTCACTGTCTGGGATATAGTCGACTGGCTGTCGCAATGTACCCGCAGAGTTGGCACTGGTTTCTCCCACATCGGGATATCTTCTAAGAAGTTCTGGAGCCACTCGGCTTCTTCTGCTGCTTTGTCTAAAGCTATGAACTCTGACTCCATGGTTGATCTTGCCAGAAGTGTTTGTTTGGAAGATTTCCAGGATACTGCAGCTCCACCAAGAGTGAACACATAACCACTTATGGACTTTGAATTTCTGGAATCTGAAATCCAGTTTGCATCGCTGTACCCTTCTAACACTGATGGTTCTCTACCATAGTGCAGTCCATAACTTGCAGTATATCTCAGATAACTCAAAACCCTTGCTAGAAGTGTTTGTTTGGAAGATTTCCAGGATACTGCAGCTCCACCAAGAGTGAACACATAACCACTTATGGACTTTGAATTTCTGGAATCTGAAATCCAGTTTGCATTGCTGTACCCTTCTAACACTGATGGTTCTCTACCATAGTGCAGTCCATAACTTGCAGTATATCTCAGATAACTCAAAACCCTTGCCAGAAGTGTTTGTTTGGAAGATTTCCAGGATACTGCAGCTCCACCAAGAGTGAACACATAACCACTTATGGACTTTGAATTTCTGGAATCTGAAATCCAGTTTGCATCGCTGTACCCTTCTAACACTGATGGTTCTCTACCATAGTGCAGTCCATAACTTGTAGTATATCTCAGATAACTTAAAACCCTTGCTATGGCTTTCCAATGAGTGCGACTTGGATTACTCGTATATCGACTTAGGACGTTTATTGAATGTGCTAAGTCGGGTCTAGTACAATTTGTCAAGTACATTAGACTTCCAATCACTCTTGCATACTCCACTTGTGACAAATGTTCACCTGTATTCTTCGTCAAGTGTAGTTGAGGGTCAAGAGGAGTTTTCACGCTCCTGCTTGAGTGGTTCTGAAACCGCTCTAGGATCTTTTCCGCGTAATGACCTTGAGACAATATTATCCCTCCAGCGTGTCGTGTAATTTTAATACCAAGAATTACATCTGCTACTCCCAAGTTCTTCATTTCAAACTTTACATTCAGCATGTTCTTAGTTTGCTGAGTTATGTCTTTGTTGCTGCCTATGATGAGCATATCGTCAACATATAGACACAGCATAACATATCCATATGAAAAGTCTTTGATATATAGATATTTATCACATTCATTGATCCGGAAGTTGTTTGACATCATTACACTGTCGAACTTCTCATACCATTGCTTTGGAGCTTGCTTAAGTCCATATAATGACTTCTTAAGCCTACATACTTTCTGCTATTGTCTAGGAGCTATATAACCCTTGGGTTGATTCATATATATTTCTTCCTCCAAGTCTCCATTTAGAGAACTGTCTTGACATCCATTTGATTAATTTCAAGGTTTCTTAAGGCAGCAATGCCAACCAGATTACGGATCGAATTTATTCTCGTCACAGGAGAATAAGTGTCAAAGAAATCCAATCCTTCCTTTTGACGAAATCCTTGCACTATAAGTCTTGCCTTGTATTTGTCGATTGTGCCATCAATATTCATCTTTGTCTTGAATATCCATCTACACCTAAGAGGTTTACTACCTTGTGGTAAATCAACCAATTCGTATGTATTATGTTGCATGATCGAATCGATTTCACTATTAGTAGCCTCCTTCCAAGAAGGTGCATCAGGTGTAGACATTGCTTCTGCAAATGTTCGTGGCTCATTCTCTGCTAGAAACGCCATGATGAACTCAGAACCAAACGTCTTCTCTTTGCGAGCTCGTTTGCTTCGTCTTGGTTCAAATTCTTCTTCTTCTTTGTTTATAGAAGTGTCTATTGAACTTCCTTCATTTCCAACATCTAGTTCCTCACGAGTTCATTTAGGATTCGCTTTATCCTTACAAGGAAACACATCTTCAAAGAACAAGACGTTTCTAGACTCTATGGTCGTGTTCACATGTATATCTGATATATCTGACTTATGTACCAGAAAGCGATATGCACTACTGTTCTTTGCATATCCAATAAAGATGCAGTCTACTGTCCTAGGTCCAATTGTGACCTTTTTAGTAAGTGGTACTGCAAATTTTTCCAAGCACCCCCCACACTTTCATTTATTTATATGAAGGTACCTTTCTTTTCCAAAGTTCATATGGAGTTTTTCCAGTAACTTTGTGTGGTATTTTGTTCAGGATATAGTTCGGGGCAAGCAACGCTTCCCCCCACATGTCATGGGCTAACCCAGATTCCTGCAACAAGGCATTCATCATCTCCTTGAGGGTTTGGTCCTTTCGTTCCGCAATCCCATTGGATTCAGGTGAGTAGGGAGCGGTAGTTTGATGAATGATATCATTCTCTCTGCAGAATGCATCAAATGGTTCATTGTATTCACCTTCTCTATCACTTCTTATCATCTTGATCTTTTTATCAAGCTGATTTTCGACTTCCAGCTTGTATTCCTTAAACTTCTCCACAGCTTCATCCTTACTGCGCAATAAGTAAATGTAGCAGTATCTGGTATGATCGTCTATGAAGGTTATGAAATTCTTCTTTCCACCGCTAGTTTGTATATATTTTAAATCACACAAGTATGTATGAATCAAACCTAGAGTCTCAGTTGTTCTTTCCACGTTTGGTGATGGTGTTTTTGTGAGTTTGGATTGTACGCAAACCTCACATTTTTCCTTTGATATTTTGAATTTCGAAATCATGTTCATATTCATCAATCTACTCATAGTCTTGAAGTTAACATGTCCTAAACGTCCATGCCAAATATTAAAGGACTCTGCAATATAATCAACTAGTTTCTTTTCATTCATCTTTTGAATTTCAGTTACATCATTCTTATTATTGCCTCAACAGACATTTTAAATAACCCATCACAAACAAAACCCTTTCCCAAAAACATTCCATTCTTGGTTAAGACCAGCTTGTCTCCTTCCACCTTGACGGCGAATCCGTGCTTGCTCATGAGGGATCCTGAGATCAGGTTCTTGCGCATGTCTGGCACGTGAACAACATTTGTGAGTTTTAGCTCTTGCCCGGAGGTGAGCTTCAGAACAACTGATCCAAAACCTTCGATCTTTTAAGTGGCAGAGTTTCCCATGCGTAACATGTCTTCACTCTTGCTCTTTTTGTAAGCCGAAAACACTTCTCTGTCCATGCAGATGTGCCTAGTTGCTCATGTATCATACCACCACGTTTTTGGATGGCACTCAGCAACGTTTGCTTCAGTCACGACAGCAACCATGTCATCCTCAGTCAAGTTAGCTTGCACCTTCTTGCTGCGACATTCAAAGGATTTGTGACCTTGCTTTTCGCAGAAGTTGCAAGTCCCTGTGAACCTCTAACCATTCTGATTGTTCTGACCGTTCTTGTTTTTGAACTTCTGAGTGTTCTTTGCAGGAATCATCTTTTCTTTGCCTTTGTTTTGGCGTCCCTTCTACTTGCCTTGCTTGTTTTGGTGTTCCACCATGTTAGCATTTCTCTCGTGACCAGCAACATTCTTTTGGAGCTATTCTCGGTTCGTTGATTCCACACGAAGTCTCACGATCAGATCCTCAAGGCTCAATTTTTTTTCCTTCAACCTAAAGTAATTTTTGAAGTCAATCCATCTAGATGGATACAGCAAAACTGATAGATTTCGCAGATCCGCATGCCCTCAGAATAATAAAGCCCGATAATGCTTTCATTAATTATCGTTCCAACATCAAGTGTGTGTGATTTGGTGTTTGGCATTAATCTACATGTCATGTTGTTTATTTACGTAAGATCATCGAAGATCGAAGTTTGTTATGCACTATATTTGGTAATATCTTTCAGGAAATGTTCCCCTTGGATTTAAAGTCGAACCCGATCCTAATGAACTTTCCAAACACAATACACAAAAGAACTTCAAACAAACTACCTTTTGAGTTTTTTAGTCACTGCTATTGTAATTATTTACACAGATGGAAATGGCGCAAACCTCTACGCTTTAAAAATTTAACAGAGTTTTGCGCTCATTTCTCCATTTTACGTTCGTTAATTTCTACAAATGTACTAAAATTTTGCTTGCAACACAAATTTCTTTATACCTCTGTTTCTTCAGTCACTCCGATCCAACACCAAGTTCTTCAGACTCCATTAACGCACCAGATGCCTCGAGTTCTTCATCAATCGGGAGTGTACGTTTTGAGCCATCCAACGCAACACCAAGAACAATGTTCTCCTCTAGCGACGAATTACCACCAGTCCCACCACCATCTCGGCTTTTCTGATCTCCAATAGTCTTTTCACTCCCTTGTCTTGCTTTTGATTTCAGCGTCTGCTCTGTTGCACCTTCGCCATCAGAAACCTCATCTTTCTCTGCTTTCTGCAAATCTCCCACGCTCTCTTTCTTCTTCTCTTCTGACTTCTGTTCTACTGGTGGATCCGATGTTGAGGTTGGCGTACCTTTAGTGCCTGTAACAAGACCTGCTTTTGGCTTTGAACCCGAAACTGATCCGCTGTTTTCAGTTTCAGCCTTGGATTCAGATGGTTCTCCTTCAGAGTCGCTTTCTTCGCCTTTTTGCGTTGAGGATTTTGCGTTGTCATCGCTATTGATTTTGTAGGACGGCTCAATCAGCATGAATCGACGGTTCATAGCTGCTTGATTGAAAACTATGTCTGAAAATGCTGCGCTGTCAACTTCGACCTCGTGACGCATTCTCTGAACTGTGCGAATGGGAGTTGCAAGACGTGCTCCATGATGCCTGATCACTCTAAGAAGATCCAGAAGTACTGCTTCCTGTTCAGAAATGCAAATTTGTTTTATGACATAAGCTCGTGGCATTTTATAAGGTTTATCATAAGATTTCATCATGATCATATCGATATGACATGCTCACAGACGCCATAAACACATGTAGATGCTCAGAGATAACACACACACAGCCACAAAAACGATTTCATGGAAAGTGATTAAATAAAGAAAAATGTGAAAAGAGTTGATCAAACTAATCTAGTGATTTAGTATACTCCTTTGAAAGTGTTGCATGTACACGCATGTTTGATATGAACAGAAAACTGCATCCGATTTATAGGAGAAATGCACAATTTGTAAGATAAAAATCCACTACAGCTATGAGAAGAGTCTATTTTGTTAAGTTTACATACCTTAACACAGAGGTATTCTTCAAAACGTGAAGTCTTTACAAAACAGGATATCAGGATCTGCAACAATATTATCAGACAAAGATATGAAAACTGATTATAGCGTGAAATAAAAACATATTAAACTAATAAATTTTCGAGAGAAAGGCATTTTCTTACCCTAAGGGCTTGGTTCTCTGGATCTACATCCTCCAAAAAGACTCTTCTGTGTATTTTTTGCTGCTCGATTTGGGGATTTTTAGACAAAACCTTGCGCATATCAGCCACTATGATCTGCAAAGTTGGAAATTTATAAAAGAATTTGTCACATTGAAACAGACTCCAAAGGTGCAGGAATGGAAGGTTACATGTAAAACAACAGCGTTTCTCACATTAATTTTGCTGACATCAAGATGACTGATGGCAAGATGTGTTTTGATGCGCCAATGTGTCTTTTGAGTTAGATTCCTCACAATATTTACACTGAACTGATGGTTAGGAATATGAACTGCTTCACGGTCATCACCTCTGATAATTGTAGGTGACCACCAACCGACTTGCTGTGAAAGAAGTAAAGTCAATTATGATGGAACAAAGTTTACATGTCAGAAAGATCAAGATGACTACTATTTGAAGCCAGTAACGTGAATTCGACTAAAAAAAAATCAATCTAGTGCAGCCTGTGGTAAAAAAAGATAACTTCACAGACCTCTACTGTGCCAGAAACTTCATAGCCTCCTATCTTGGTCTGGATCCACTCATTCAGAACAAAGGGCCGGGTAGCATGAATCATAATGCTTGAAAGAAAGTTTGTAAGTATCTGCACAATTCACAAAAGGTATTATTGTCACATTGTAAGATGAGATTTAGTATGCCAAAAAATTTCCATAAAGAGAGGACCTCACCTCACGACCAGCAAGAGTGAGCAGTACTGTCCCCAGACCTCCAGCTGTTAGCCACTTTTGAGTAGAGAAACCCAGTAGCTCCATAAACAATGAAGCAGCAGCGACCCACGCAGCAGTGTAAACAGCTTTTCCAGCAAAACTGAAACCCATCTGGCATAACAATAAACAGATAAGCATATTTCCAAATATACCACCTTAGCTGGGGCTGAAGAGTCGTAACTAATATCATCATTTAATCTCAATTACAACTTGAGCATCAGGCAATTGAGTTTTTGTACATCTATATCGAGGGAGGTTCTTCCTTCAGGAGTCAGGACAACTAAAATAAATGAATGCAAATTGCATATACACAAAAAGAGTACAAGTTTGGAGGGATAAATTGCTAAGTTGTTCATGAGAGTCACCATCTTAAGTACAGTTCAAATATACTATGTCATCTTCGCTAGTATATGGAAGGATAGACGTAATACGAAACATAATTAACTTCTTCTAGGGAAAACTCAGCCCTACAGTTGAGGTATCATAACACATAGGCAGCAGTAGGCGTTGTGCTACCACTTACGAAAGCCAAGAACCCTCAATCAAAAAGAAAGTGCCAAATCCATTTTAAGGATAAGGGGACGTACATTTCTGGTATCAGCAGGATTATTTGTCTCCATAAAGTATTTCTGTACCTGCTGAAGTAGACTGCAGAAATGACATTGTATAAAATGCTCAGTAATTGAAAAAGCATGTAGAACTCAATAAAGCTAATTTATTACAGATATACAAGGACTGAAACAAATTAGCATGCTCTAGTTCCAACTACTGAAAACCTAAATGCTGAAGCACAAAAGTCACTGAGGTCTTTTGAAGACTTTTATTATTAAGCAAGTCCTACAATAGCCAAGCTCAACGTAGCAGCGTTCTTATAGTAATAGCATAGAGAAACTCTTTCTCACCTTGATAAACAGCAGGCAAATGCCAACACCGTTGATATGGAGCGTGCAAAGATAAGAAGGCGTGTTTTAACAGCTTGGCTGGCACTTGAAGACAATACTATTGGGTCCAATGTTCTGAAAAACAATTACATATTGGTGTTAGTAAAAACGTATAATATAATTAAATAGTTAAGAAACTAAATATTGCCGACCTGCATAAAAGGATTGCTCCACTCCAAAGCAGCAAGGGCTGAAGATATGACACAACAATATATTGTGTGCTGCTCTTGTGTGAATTTGCATCATTCCCCTTCTGCAATTAAAGTTGCGTCCACTTAAAATTAACTATAGCAAGCGAAACAAGAATTTAAAGTGAAGGAATTTATAAGAATAACATCACACCTCGAACAGGGTAGCTCTGGCAAAGCGCAGAAGAGGTATAAGCCCCCATGTAGCAAATGCAAGAATCCCAACTGCTGGAATCAGTTTCATTAACTGAGGATTTCCACGTAAACCATCATATGCCCTGAAATCAATGGCTAACATTTCAGGTAAAACGGCTTCAACTATTGAAAAGTTGAAATGTATTTGAAAGACAGTCCAATCATGAGATGTACATCCTACTCCCCCTATTTCAATCTGGTCTCTCTTTGGTCTCAGTTGTAAGCAAAAACATGTGACGTGTGTGGAGTTTGCATACTTTGTCAAATCGAGGTTCAAGCATATAACCTTGTGAATATTACTGCAGTTGATTTAGCAATGGGGCCTTCATTTCCACTTCCTGGAAAGAGAGCTGCTCGGCAAACGAATGCATTACGCCTAGATGATACAGGGGATACTGATACACTCAAGCTCTCCAGAACCTGAAGACTCCAAACGTCTTGCCTCTAAGACAACAGGAAAGGAAACATACAATTAAAAGAAACCCAAGGTTATACTAGTAAAAAAAATCCGTAACTTTACTTAAAACATGAATCTATGTATCTGATTTTAATACTTTGTAACTGAGACGTATACATAATTATAAGACACATATACACACAAAGTTTAATACAATAAGAGCAGACACAGAAGCATAAATACGGAAGTCACTGAAAAAAAAGTCCTTAAGTGAACGGAGAGTTCCTCACAGCACCAACATCGGTTGACGAAAATCAGATAGAATCACTAACAAATGCAAGAGGCGAGAATTTAAACCATTAAACAGCTATGAGCACAGACGATACCGTGGCACATGATGAAAGGCCTGTCCGTGTCAGATACACACGATTTTTACCAGCAACGCCCTGCAGGAAAATAAATAAATTGTTTTAAGTAATCAAAACACTGGAACTGACTTCGAAAATAACAGTGATAACACTACGTACATAGTGGTATCCAGAAGCTTCATGGGACTTATGAACATTCAGATCATGAGACAATGGTAGAGAGACGGTGCGCATCATCATCCCAAGATAAACGAAGCACCTTTATACAATCAATTAGCGGAGAAAACTTGGATCAAATAAAGAATTAGCTTCGAAGAACAATGAACAGTGATACGATCTTTATATCCTAACCGCCTAAAAATTTCAAAATCATCGAAATAATTTTGTATAATTACTAAAGATTAGCAAAATCCTAACTTCGCGCGAGCATCTCATACGATTTCATCGAATTACTGAAATTCCGTACTAATCAAGCCGATCATTGTCTAATCAAAGCAGGATTACAATCCGATCGACATTCCTCCGTCGAATCTTTCTAGTTTCTGGCGAATTTGTAGCCACAAACTAACCAGAAGTTACCTGCGACGTACGGAGATGAGAAATCGAGAGAGATCGGAAGCAAACGACGAAGAAGAAAGAAGCGGCTCAAGAGAATCGGGACAGAATCAGAGAAAACGGTAAGCTTCTTCTTCTTCCTGGTTACTTTCTTTCTTTCTTTCTTCCGAAAACAAACTACAGAGCATGCATCTAGCTAACGTGCGCTATGAGTTGACGTCTCCTTCTCTCTCTCTAAAATACGCCTGTTGTGGCAATTCGCAACCTCATCATCAAACCCTAAGGAAGAAGTTTTTGGGATAGACGAAAGAAATGATGATGAAGATATTTCAATTTTTTCGTGGTCCCGCAAAATTGCAAATTTTTAACCAAACGGAAATTTGACCCTTATCCGAATGATTTTCCTCCGCATGCTTCCCACGTGATCTATAAATTGTTCGGCTCCACCGACCAACTATATGACTCGGCCCATTTTTGGCTCAGGCCCAATAATTGTTTAATCTACTTTCCGAAATTTCTTTAAAGGATATTTTGCAAAATAACCTTACAAGTATCCAACTTTTTACAAATCTATATAGTTAACAACTCGTTTTAACTTCCATCGCCGATATGATATCTAACATTTGTAACTTGTTAAATATCGAAGGGCGTGTACCATATAGTTTATTTGTTAGTTGAGTAGCTGTCATGTAAAGTTTTGGAACATAAGGGTTGAATTTGCAAAACAAAAATATATTTAGGAGTTCCGTTTCTTCTCAACGATAATATCAGAAAAACGGGTGAAGAGCTGGAATGCTCTTATTGGTGAAGGAATATACAAAATACCCCTTCATCAATCTACATACCCTTCTTTATTTTAATGAAAGATGAAATTTCTATACTATCCTTACTATCCAACCCATACACATATTAAAAATATATTAAATAATAACAAAACTGACCAATAAAAAATAAGCAATTTGGACCAATCAAAAAACATATCCGATTTTTGCTTCTTCTTTCTTCTTCGCGAGCTCACTCTCATCTCCATTGCAGCTAATTGCTCGGTTTAAATTGCAGGGAATACAGGTGCGTTTCCGACATAACTTTGCATCTTCAAAGTCGAAATTAAGTAGAGAAGACGTTTACATGTATAGAAATCAATTTGTTGTTGTGTTTGAAAATAAAAAATTGAATTGAATTTGGTTTGATATTGAATGCATTTGAATTTGATATGCACATCTCGGTTTAAAACTAAGTTGTATGCGTCGAGTAGGACCATGCATTGGTAACGAATGGTCGATTTTAATAGCTGAATCATAGAGATTCGTAATTAGATTATAAGGAGAGAATCCACCTGAAATCGAAATCATCAGAGATAGAAGAACTTGGTAGAACAGGTATTACTGAGTACGATGGTAAACCTGGGTACAACTGGTATTACTGAGTATTAAGGAAACACTTGGTAGAACTAGTTTTACTGAGTACGAAGGTAGAACTGGATAGACCCTGTATTACTGAGAGAAATTGGAAATTATTGTTTATGGGTGTGTTAAAACTAGGAATGGGTTATTATTTCTGAATAGCATGTAGATTAGAAGTGGTTCAGAAAGAAATTGTTATTTAAAATAAGCCTAACTGGGTACTATATGGTATTACTGATTGATGTTAAGAATTGATATTTTATATTACTTTGCAGGCGATAATGAGCAAAATCGTAAACTTATATTTCGATTACAGAGGAAGTTATTCAAAGACCGGAGCTGAGGATATATGGAATTCTGTAGGTCATGTCTACGCTTTGACGTTTAAGACATGTATTGAGGAGATTAGTTACTCGGTGTTACATAGTAGGATATGCAAGAAGATTGGAGTAGATGAACGTACGGTGAAACTACAATTGAGCTTCCTTCCTTTGATATGCAAACCACCGAGAGCATCACTGATTTACAATGATGAAGATGTGTATTCTTATCTGACTTCCATGGATAAAGAGCAATGTAGAAGTGTTTTGCATGCTGAGGTCATCAAAGATTTGGGAATAGATCGGGGAATGGAGCAACTCTCTAGACTGGGTGGAGGAAGTTCATTTGGTATGAATTATTCAGAGTTGCATTCAACTGATAATGTAGTAAATGCTGGTGCCATTGTACATTATGTAGAACCAGTAGAACAACAAGAGCCACAAGAGCCGTTGGAAGACATCGTCATGAGTGAGAAAGTATCACCTGACCCTGAGGATGTTGGAACTGATTTCATGAATGAGGAACATGTTGATCCTGCAGGTCTTTCACAGGATAATCAGTTTATAAAAGCATGGGAAGACGGTTTGGGTTTGCAAGTAGGTCAATAATTTGGGAGTAAGCATGATGTGCAAGATTTGGTTGATAAAGGTGCATTTCAGAATTGCTTTGTATTCGGTGTAGTGAAGTCTTATAGGACACGATTGGTGCTCAAATGCCGTCAAGAAGGTTGTACATGGCATTTACGAGTTGCAAAGGTTGGCAATTCAGATATTTTCTCTGTTAGAGTATACACAAAGATGCATACATGCTCTCGCGCTACTGCCAGTACAAGTAGCTATAAAAGGAAAGGAACACCAGGTCTTGTTGCTTCTGTTTTGCATGATGATTATCTAGGACAGTTTAACACCCCAACTCCTAAAATCCTAATCAGTCTGGTTTAGGGAAGAATGGGGGTGAAAGTGTCATACTCCACAGCATTGAGAGGAAAAAAGCAAGCTATTAGAGATGTGCGTGGTAATGCTGAAGGAAGTTATGGGCTGTTGTACAGTTATATGCACATGCTAGAGAAAGTGAATCCTGGTACAAAAACAAGTGTGATGGTGGATGAAGCGAAAAAGTTCAAATACCTTTTCGTTGCTTTAGGAGCTAGTATTGAAGGGTTTCAGGCGATGAGGAAAGTCATAGTTGTGGATGCAACTTTTCTGAAGACTGTATATAAAGGTGTCCTAATTTAGGATCCTAATCACCACCATTATCCCATTGCTTTTGGTGTACTCGATGGTGAAAAAGATGCAAGTTGGAGTTGGTTTTTCAATACACTGAAAACAGTTATACCTAAACTGGTATGTACTACTGACAGAAATCAAAGCCTTATCAAGGCAATACGTTCCGTGTACCCGTTAGCTGAGCACGGGTATTGTCTATGGCATTTGGCACAAAATGTGAGGACTAAAGCTAAGAACGTCAACAAAGACGTACTTTCAGCTAGATTCATCGATATTGGCAAAATTTATACGGTGGTTGAGTTCCATCATGTTTACGATGAATACTATAGGAGATATCCTGCTGCGGCTGCCTATTTGCAAGAAAGTTGTGAGGTGGAAAAATGGGCGAGGTGTTATTTTCCAGGTCAAAGGTACAACATAGACACCAGCAATATAGGTGAATCTATGAACAACGTTTTTAAAGATGCAAGGAAGTACCCTTTATTAGCTTTGCTTGATACGAAAATTGAAAAAATGGCTGAATGGTTTAACAAGTATAGAAAGGATGCAGCTGGTGGATCGATCACACAGAAGCTGGTGCCTTATGTGGAGAACTTAGTGCACAAAAGATGCAAGACTGCGTCCTCCTTACCTGTAGTTGAGCTTAACACATTTGAGCTTGAATATCGTGTCAATGGAAGTGATGGCAAGACTTACGTGGTGAACTTGCTAAGGAAAAGTTGCACTTGTAGGTGTTTCGATATTGACAGGTATCCTTGTGAGCACGGAATAGCTGCTGTTGTAAAATACATGCAGGGTGAAAATAGAGGAAGAGATATCCATTTTCATGATTTGTGCTCACCTTATTATTTGATGGAGCAGTGGGCATTGGCATATTACAGGACCATATATCCCGTGCCAGCTAGGTCTGAATGGAGTATTCCTGAGGAAATTAAAAAATTGCAGATCTTACCTCCGGACTACGTCAAAAAAGGGAAGAAACAAAGAGAAGAGGTTCCCATCCATTGGAGAATTTCGGGCAAAAACGAGTAATAAAAGAGTGGCAGGTTTAAACTTGCGTTCATGGCTGTTCCCGGATCGGGATTGATGTCTTTGTGTTTGCATTTCTTTGCTTTTTTTTGAACATATCTGTTTGTAGAATTTGGTAATACTGACTTTCGAAATAGTAAAACTTGCGTTCATGGCTGTTCCCGGATCGGGATTGATCTTTTTATGTTTGCATTTCTTTGCTTTTTTTGTAAAACTTGTTAACACTGATTTTCGTAATGGTAAAACTAACTTCAATTATGATTTTAAAAGAAACAAACACGGAAATTGGGAAATAAGGAAATTTCAAAAGAAACAATACTATTACAGCATATAAGTACCACTTTAATAGGAAGAAGATATTTTAATTAGAAGAAAAATATTAGAATATCATTATGGTAATTATACTCATCAAAGACCGTATAATTTGATGATCACTTGGTTAATATGAACCATCTGAGAATGCAAAATATTCATATAATAATATTTCATACATTTTAATACATAAATACCTTGGACTGTTCTAAACTTGACTGATATGATTGGGAAAACTACGAATTGATGATTTTAATTAAGGTAAAACTAAATAAAACTTAAACGCCTTCAAAAGTAACATTATTTGAAAGCAAGTAATACTGGTTTCTTAGGTAACACTATGACAAACACCAAGGTTTGGCGCACGTGTCTGAAATATCGAGTTTTCGCGGTC